CTGTGGGGGCTGGTGGGAGGCTGTGGGGGCTGGTGCGAGGCTGTGGGGGCTGGTGGGAGGCTGTGGGGGCTGGTGCGAGGCTGTGGGGGCTGGTGGGAGGCTGTGGGGGCTGGCGGGTGTGGACAGGTTTGCAAGGCTGGGATAATCATCATGATAATAGCTGGCTTATTGAGTCATCAGCGTCGCTTGTGACGAGAGTAACCTGGTTATTCCTGCCTCCCCCCCCACTCCCCCCCCCCCCCTTTCAGACACCCACAGTAGGGGTCAGCCAGCCCTCTCTCTCTCTCACAGCACCAGCCCTCTCTCTCAGCACCAGCCCTCTCTCTCAGCACCAGCCCTCTCTCTCTCTCAGCACCAGCCCTCTCTCTCTCTCAGCACCAGCCCTCTCTCTCTCAGCACCAGCCCTCTCTCTCTCAGCACCAGCCCTCTCTCTCTCAGCACCAGCCCTCTCTCTCTCAGCACCAGCCCTCTCTCTCTCAGCACCAGCCCTCTCTCTCTCTCTCAGCACCAGCCCTCTCTCTCTCAGCACCAGCCCTCTCTCTCTCAGCACTAGCCCTCTCTCTCTCTCTCAGCACCAGCCCTCTCTCTCTCAGCACCAGCCCTCTCTCTCTCTCTCAGCAGCCCTCTCTCTCTCTCTCTCAGCACCAGCCCTCTCTCTCTCAGCACCAGCCCTCTCTCTCTCAGCACTAGCCCTCTCTCAGCACCAGCCCTCTCTCTCTCAGCACCAGCCCTCTCTCTCTCAGCACCAGCCCTCTCTCTCTCAGCACCAGCCCTCTCTCTCTCTCTCAGCACCAGCCCTCTCTCTCTCAGCACCAGCCCTCTCTCTCTCTCTCAGCACCAGCCCTCTCTCTCTCTCTCAGCACCAGCCCTCTCTCTCTCAGCACCAGCCCTCTCTCTCTCTCTCAGCACCAGCCCTCTCTCTCTCTCAGCACCAGCCCTCTCTCTCACAGCACCAGCCCTCTCTCTCTCAGCACCAGCCCTCTTTTTTTTAAGAATATTGAAGAAGCCATAAACAGTATGCCTATGCACTCTGCACCAGGCCCTGATTCTTGGAACTCTATATTCATCAAGAACTGTAAAAAACCACTATCGCAGGCCCTTCACATTCTGTGGAGACAAAGCCTAGATACTGGCGTTATCCCTGACATACTAAAAACAGCAGAGATAGCACCACTCCATAAAAGAGGAAATAAGGCAGAGGCAAAAAATTACAGACCGATAGCACTAACATCGCACATCATAAAAATCTTCGAGAGAGTGCTAAGAAGTAAGATCACAAAATACATGGAATCACAGCATCTCCATAACCCCGGACAACATGGTTTCAGAACAGGGCGCTCTTGCCTGTCGCAGTTGCTGGACCACTATGATATGGCATTAGATGCTATGGAAGACAAACAAAACGCTGATGCAATTTACACAGATTTCGCTGTGTAAATTCCTCTGTTCACCTAGCAGCAAATAGGTACCCGGGAGTTTAGGCAATGTATATTCCTATTTGTTACACGCCCCCAGGAAGCAGTCCCGAACAGCTATCTAACTCCCTGGTACCTATTTACTGCTAGGTGAACAGGTGCATCAGGGTGAAAGAAACTTTCCTTAGCATTAGGAATCCCGAGCGCTTTCGACTCAGCCGTCAAGGCTGAGTTACGACACACGTACAGTTACTAAAGACACAAATGGATTAAAAGAAAAATATCTTGAAGAACACATAAAGGAGCGAAGCTGTAGAGGGAGAACACAAGAGAGAACTGGTGAGAACAAGAACAGAAGAAGACATAGATAATTAACGGTAATTAACAAGGGGGAAAAGAACAAGGGGAGAAGGGAAAATAGGAGGGGAAATGGACCAAGAAAATGAAGCGAAGAAAGGAGACGAGAATATTAAGATGGAACGAGAGGGAGAGGAGTAGAAGGAAGGAAGAAGAAGGAGAAGAAAGAGAAGGAAGGAGGGAGGAAGAAGCACAACAATTATATATAAGGTAAAAGAGGCCAAGCACCCCCCCCCCTGGGGGACCCCCACAGGGGGGTTAGTTTACTAGTCAAGAACAACCAGTCGGATGAGCCGGTCGGCCGAGCGGACAGCACGCTGGACTTGTGATTCTGTGGTCCCGGGTTCGATCCCTGGCGCCCGCGAGACACAATGGGCAGAGTTTCTTTCACCCTATGTCCCTGTTACCTAGCAGTAAAATAGGTACCTGGGTGTTAGTCAGCTGTCACGGGCTGCTTCCTGGGGGTGGAGGCCTGGTCGAGGACCGGGCCGCGGTGACACTAAAGCCCCGAAATCATCTCAAGATAACCTCAAGATAACCAATCAACACAACAGTGACCTGTTACACACCACCAATAACGAGGCGATTTCCTGAAGACTTTTTAAATAAAACTCAAAAAAAAAAGTTTTGAAGAACAAATTGTTCTTCAATCCGAGTAGAACAAATGTGAGCAGCGAGGGAGAACAGAGACGCGGGTTGTTACGGCATCCTGTCCCCGACTGTCACAAAGGGGCCTGACGGCTGAGTGGACAGCGCTCAGAGTTCGTAATCCTAGGGTCCGGGTATCGATCCCTAGCGATGGCGGTAACAAATGGGCTGAGTTTCTTTCACCCTGATGCACCTGTTCACCTAGCAATAAATAGGTAGTCTATGAGCCTAGGGGACGGGTATCTTGAGATGATTTCGGGGCTCAGCGTCCCCGCGGCCCGGTCCTCGACCAGGCCTGCTATTTGTTACACCCCCCCCCCCTACAGGAAGCAGCCCGTAGCAGCTGTCTAACTCCCAGGTACCTATTTACTGCTAGGTGAACAGGAGCATGAGGGGTGAAAGAAACATTTTGCCCATTTGTCTCCGCCACCACCGGGGATCGAACCCGGAAGCTCAGGACTACGAATCCGAAGCGCTGTCCACCCAGCTGTCAGGCGCCCTGCTCTGAGAGCCACGGGTGATAGATTGCAATGCAATTGCTTGGGATGCAGACAGGTACTTTAGTCCCACCTTGTATCACAAGTGAACAAATCCACAAGGGCCGTGACGAGGATTCGAACTTACGTGTAATGAAGTAAGGGCCAAGATGGAGAACGGCCTATTGACATAGCTCGTGTGCATGGGGGGGGAGTTGTGTAAAACCCTGGTTTGTGTCTCGGAGAGGCTGCAGGATCCAGTAAGTTCAGTAGAACTTCGGTTTCAACTCTTTTGACCATGTCGTAGATCAGTCGATTAAGGCGGCGTCTGGGATGCTCTCGGACGCAGGTTCGAATCCTCGTCACGGCCCTTGTGGATTCGTTGATTTGATCCATCACGCTATTGTGAGTTCTGTGTGTAGTGTATCACAGGTGTAAATTTGTTTTGATATAAACCTCTCAGTTTTGACATATTCAATTAATTCATAGTATGCTACAAATATATCAAGTTAGTTGAATTAATTAATAATTTGCCATATGTTGATATACTCAAGCATAAAATACAGTCGTATACCTCTCCCTTTGACCACTCCAACCACTTAGGCTAGACGGTAGAGCGACGGTCTGGCTTCATGCAGGTCGGCGTTCAATCCCCGACCGTCCACAAGCGGCTGGGCACCCTTCCAAGTGCTATATACAGTCGTATATGGCTTGACGATACTAACTAACATCCTCATTTTTTCATTTGTATACATTGCATAACTTCAATAAATTAACTGTATCTAATTATCAATTATATTGGCATCAATTACGGTAAATCCCCGAGCCGTCATTAATCAGTAAGAGGGAGAGAGATTAATCCCCGGAGATGACCAGAGGGTCCCTGGGCCAGCATCCCTCTCAGACGAGGGATGCTAAATGATGCACGGCACTATATCGCAATTATATGGTAATTAAGAGCCATAATTAATGCCTTGTCCGCCATACATCCCCCTAGCAATTCGGAAATTACCGAAATAAAATTAAGTTCTGTGTGTAGTCTTGTTGAAGCAATATTTGGACGCCATCACCCGGAAAGTGTTGAAGTGCATTAACAATTGTTAGTTTAAGGAATTTAGAGAGGAGTTAAAAAAAAAAAAATACCTTGTATGCTGGGGGGGGGGGGGGGACTTTTGGAAAGGTCGAGGCCCTATATACACCTCTTGCTCGATAGGTGTGTGTATATATATATATATATATATATATATATATATATATATCATATATATATATGAATATGTATCCTTGAATCGAGAGCCTACAACATGTATGTTCGCGGAGTCATGTATGTTTGAATGACTGTATAATACATTGCAGGTATGTGTGAGTGTAGCAGGTTTGCATCTAGGTGTCCGTGTATGTGTGTAATTACCAAAGTGTAGTTACAGGATGAGAGAATTACGCTCGTGGTGTCCCGTCTTCCCAGCACTCTTTGTCGTATAACGCTTGGAAACTACTGACGGTCTTGGCCTCCACCACCTTCTCACTTAACTGGTTCTAACAGTCTATATACCACTTAGTTTGCAAAATACAATTTTTATGATATTTTATTTGGCACCTGTGTTTTCTTAGCTTGAATCTGTGTCCTCTTGTTCGTAAAGTTTCAGGAATTCCTGAAAATAGTTAGAAGTTCCAACGGGCCAGGAATCGAGCCCGGGGCGTTAGAACTACGAACCCAAAGCGCTGTCCACTCAGCCGCAAGGACCCTGAATGTGTATACAGAGGAGTGTATGTATATGTATACTTCCGCATAAACATTATATACAGGCATACATACTGAAATGTTTTATTCACGTGCCTAAGTATGGAAACTGCCATACTTGGAGTTTAATGCAAATATCATCCGAGTTCTCTCTGTATATGCTAATTCATGTGAATATTGTATGATGCTCTTTGTCGTTTCTCAAGAACAAACTATTTTGTTCTATTATTTCTATTATATGTTCTATTCTATTAAACTTTATTTTTGTACTATATCTGCTGCAGCCTAGTTTGGGGAGCAGTATGAGGCCTCATTACTGCTGTGTGACGTCCCACATGAGGGGTCTGGATGGGTTACGATCTC